ATTGGGTGGCAGTACATTTTGTGTCTCCTTTCCCCTCTTTTTCCCCCATATCCCCCTCTACCTTTTGTACTCCTTACCTTATCCCTAGTTGTTAAAAATAAATAAATAAATACATACATACATACATCCTGAGATCCTTGCTCTATCATGCAATTGGGACTGGATGGAAGGGCCACTTCAGAGGGTCTCTTTTTCAGATGACTCCCAGGGAGTAACCTTTTCTGGTGCAATCCAGTGAGATGTCCCCATCCTCACCCTGAGTTTGGGACTAAATGGTTCTCCTGAGATCCTTGCTCTATCATGCAATTGGGACTGGATGGAAGGGCCACTTCAGAGGGTCTCTTTTTCAGATGACTCCCAGGGAGTAACCTTTTCTGGTGCAATCCAGTGAGATGTCCCCATCCTCACCCTGAGTTTGGGACTAAATGGTTCTCATTTGTAGTAGTGTTAGGACAGTATATAATATTCCTCCTGTGTACTCAATAGGCAAGTCAGTGGTTTCACTCCTATATTAGAGACAGGGTGTGGGGTATCCAAAAAGGGAGAGAGAGTAACTTTCCTAAGATGGTACTTTTGAAATAAAAGCCTGAATCCAGATGCTACTCTCATCCAGTGTAGATCTACTGTATCAGTTGCTGAATGACAAGTCAACTCTTAGGTAAATGCCTTTAGTGCAGTGGGTCTACTCTAGTTAGGATAGCTAGCAATTGGATTCAGGCCAGGGACATTTTAGCTGAGACGTTATGCAGCTGACGTGCCACATGAAATACAATCTTTAACTTCTTAATACAATTTGCTGCACAGATTTGCATTATCTGATTCATGCCACTGGGCATAAGTAACATGTTTTTTACCACTGTGTTACTAAAAGCAGCATAATTTTTGAAACCAAAAGTTTAAGAATAATTGTAAGAAAAACAGTAATTGTAAAAAAAAATTAAAAATCCAGAGGTCAATCAAAAAGCCACAAGCATTGATCCTGGCCCGGGCTCAGCAGCTGTTTAAATAGATTTCTCCCTTCTTTAGAAGCCAGTCACCTTTGAGGATGTTGCTGTGTATTTCACAAAATCAGAATGGACCCTGCTGGATCCAGAGCAACGAGCCATGTACAGGGATGTCATGCTGAAGAGCTATGAGAATGTGGCATCCATGGGTAAATACCTCTCTTTTCTTAGTTGCATAGAATGGATGGGGCCATGCAGGCTGTCCTTATTTGTTCATACCTCGCCTTTTTCCTTATGGTACACTCAAGTTGGGGTTCAACCACGTAATAATGACTTACTGGCAGAAGCGATTTTTGGTAATTAAAGAATTCCTCCTCTTGTTCCATGGGTCCCATGGCTTTGAAAGGCATTAGGTGATAGCCTCGGGACATAAGTAGGAAATTTTAATTACAAAAATCAATCACCTCTGCTGATGACATCAGCCCTATGTGAACATAAGTTACAGAACAGGATTTCGGCTTCTGCCTGTTCAGGAAAGAGTAGTTCTAATTATACACGAATGACATTGTCTAGTCTGAACCTAGAATCATCAGTTTGTTATCCCTACTCCTTGATGAGCCATAGAGTCCTTTCCAGCTCTCCAGTTCTAAGATGATGATGGTGGTGGCAATATTACAGTACTTGGGGTTCCCTAACTAGCAACAGCTTCTTTTACACTGTTTCACTTTAAAAGTTGTTCCAATACTAATTAATGCCCCCCCACATCCAAAATTCACTGTTAACAAACACTGTGACTGCCACTATGAACAGGTCCATGTGTCACTGAGCGTGACAGTAAGAGAGCAGAAATGGGAGTGAGAAAAGATCAGAGGTTGGAGGGAAGCGTCAGGCGTGCAAGCGGGAGAACCCCAGTGAGACGGAGCAATGATAAGATGGTGGAAGTCGGGGGAAAGTAGTCAGCAAGCAAGCTGGAGGGACGAGGTGTGGGGGGAAAAGTGAAAAGATAGCAAAAGTTTCATTTATAAGGCATATTAAGCAAACTTCCTGTTTTCAGGAAAACAGGTTTTGACTTACAACAGCTCTTTTTACAACTGTCGGGGGGGTTAGATTGTATGCATATACAGTGGTGCCTCGCTTTACGATTCTCCCGCATTACGACAAAACCACATTATGACAATCTTTTTGCAATCACAATTGCAATCGCAAAACGATGGTCTAAATGGGGTTTTTTCGCTTTGCGATGATTGGTTCCCTGCTTCGGGAACCGATTCTTCACAAAACGACGATTTTAAAACAGCTGATTGGCAGTTTCAAAATGGCCATCGGGTAAACAAAATGGTTCCCCGCTGTTTTCTGGGACTGATTCCTCGCAAGGCAGCGAAAACGGTTGCCCTATGGAGGATCTTCGCTGGACAGTGAGTTTTGCCCCCATTGGAACGCATTGAAGGGGTTTCAATGCGTTTCAATGGGGGTTTTTTTTGCTTTACGATGTTTTCGCTTAACAGCAATTTTCCTGGAACGGATTATCACCGTTAAGCGAGGCACCACTGTACGGTTGTTTGTTACAGTCTCATTCTCTCTAACTTCCTTCTTCTGCCAACCAGGATTCTCTCCTTCAAAACCAGCCCTGATCACCTGCCTGGAGCAAGGAGAAGTCCTGTGGGCCCGGATTCAACCAGAACACCAAAAAAGGGAGATGCTGCCCAGACCCAGCTCAGGTGAGGTGTTTTGATATAGCCCCCGGAGGAGGTTGGGCAGAGCATTAACCTGTTTGGGCTGCTGATGATAATAATGGTAAAAACCTTTATGTATATACCTTCCCATCCAAAATGGTATTCAGAATACCTGACGATTAGGCCGAATAAATGCTCTGGGGGTGCTCGGTACTGTTGCTGTGGGGCAGATGAACAAGTACAGGCCTGGCCAGTGTCGGGGATGGGAGAATATTAGGAATTCCATGTAGGAACAGACTCAGAAGTTGACTTTAGGCATTTATCATTTAACACTGTGAGTCAAATAGGGTGTTCATTTCATCTCTAATTTTTCTCTTCGCTGATTTTAGCTTTCTTTGCTGTCCCTTCCAACCATGAAACAAGGCTTCTTTTAGTGGTGGCACCCTGAAAAAATTGGATCTTCCTCATGACAAAGATTCACAGGCTTCTGCTTTTTCTGCTTTTTGATGATCACTGGAGATCTTTTTTGTTCTAAGCAGCTTCTCAGGATGCAATCATGCCATTCCAGGGTGGAGAAAGGGCACAAAAAGAGATGTCAGAGGATGTGGTGGATTATCCTCTGAGATAGGGGCTTTCAGAGTACTTTGACTTCAGCCCCCCCCCCAAAAAAAATTCCCCCAGCCAAAATGTTGTGGGCTTTAGCCAAGAAATTAAAGCCCACACATGAGCTTTCAGTTAAACACAGGCAAAGAAAGACAGCTTCATCAGCCATTTTCTTCCTGTGCAGAAGAAACAGGAAATGGGTAGGCATAGCTAAAATCCATAGGACGTGCAAGAGATTAGGGGACTGGAAGTTTTTCTGAGAGTCACCCTGTACAGAGCCTAATAGGTAGAGATAATTCTGGGGTTGAAGTCCGGGAAATCTGCCTAATTTGTCCTCGGGGAGAGAAAATTGACCTTGCAACTTCCAGTCTCTGAAGAGACTTTGCAGTACTTGCTCTGATAGGGGCAAAAAGAGAGGATTTTTTCCAGTAAAGGTATGGATTGGATCTCAAGATCTTAAGAACTGTTACACCCCAAGTGGCTCCACTCCAAAGCTATTTTGGAATAATGGAAGTTCCCAGAAGCCTTCACCATCTGCTCTGCTGACTAGGGTTTCTGGGAGTTGCAGTCCAGGAACATCTGGAGACCCAAAGTTGGGAACCATTGCTCTAGAGGGAGAAACAAATTAAAAACTGTGTCATGGTGGGGGAATGCTGCTACTTTCTCTCAGCTTTCCCACTGACATGCTTCCAACAAAATTTTATTTCTAGTAGATCTTAATCTTCTGCTGTGAATGATCTTTCCTCCGAGGAGGACAGGAAAGTACGTGCCATTTCTGCCCCTTGTATTCCTTTAATGACCCTGCAAGAGTCTTTTCCCCTTCACAGCAAAACCTACAGGGCATGTTGGGCTGAGGGACAATCGCTGTCCTCTGACACCCAGCGAGTGCCGATCAATTTCTGGTATTTTGTCTGGCCTTCTCACTGCTTGGCCAGCCACACTGCTTCTCACAATGCCCGACTCCTCTGAGAAAGTACACTTCTTCCTTCAAACTATGCTGGGGTTAGGGGCACTGTCTTCCATATACCTGTAGTTCAAAATCTGCATATAACTGTTATGCCCCCATATATGTCACTACAAAGCGTAAAAAGTTGATTAGCACACACAAACCTATGGGCCTCCATCATCATACCGGGGATCATTGCCCTGCCAACAACAGGGTAAGCCCAAGGCATCTTTCTCAGGCCACTTCCTGGGAGCAGCGTGTTTATTGAATATTTATTTATTTAAATGTTTATTAGAAAAAAACTGTGCATTACCCAAACATGCTGCTCAGATCCGTGCAATTCAAGGGAGAAGTGTATATCAGCATATTGATTTTTTTTCTTAAAATCTTGTGTTTTACCTCAACAGTAAGTGAGGAAGGGGATGAGAAGGCAGAGAAACAGATGCCGTCAGAATATTCTGAACTAAAGAGACCCGAAGAGGCATGGTGGGAAAGAGCCCAAGAAGATATTTCCATTTATCAAGAAAATGGTGAAAACTCTGGGACCTGGCACGAAGCTGAGACGCCCCGAAAAAATCACCGTGGAAAGCAAACTGCGGAAGTCGTTTCTAGTGGAAGCAGCAAAGGCCGGAAGCAAAACTGGGTGCAGAGGAATGTAAAGCGCCACTCGCCCTCTGAAGCTTCGAGCAAAACTGGAGCAAAATCTGAAAAATGTTCAGTCTGTGGTAAAACTTTCTGCAATAACACTTATCTTCTTATACACGAGCGATCCCACACGGGAGTAAAGCCATATACCTGCTCAGACTGCGGGAGAGGTTTCACTTCGCCCTCCAACCTTCTCTCCCACGAGCGGATCCACACGGGAGAGAGGCCCTTTCAGTGTTCAGATTGCGGGCGATGCTTTATACGAAACAGAGACCTACAGGCGCACTGTACCATCCACACGGGTGAAAAACCCCACGCTTGCTCCTATTGTGGGAAAAGGTTCAGGAGCAAAACCCACGCTGTTCGGCACGAGAAAATCCACAAAGAAGAGAAACCCTTCACATGTCCAGACTGTGGGAAAGGGTTCAGGCTGAAAGAACATCTTGCCGTTCACCACAGAATCCACACGGGAGAGAAACCCTACGAATGTTTGGTCTGTGGGAGAAGTTTCAGTTGCGCGGCAAATTTTCACAGGCACAAGAAAACTCACGGCGGAGAGAAAATGCATAAATGTTCAGACTGTGGGAAAAGCTTCAGGAATGCTTCAGACCTGAGATCGCATCGGAGAATCCATACCGGCGAGAAACCGTATCAGTGCTCTTTCTGCAGGAAAAACTTCCGTTGCAGTTCAAGCCTGACGACGCATAAGAGAACCCACCAGGGAGAAAAACCATACAAATGCCCAGAATGTGGCAAATGTTTAAGTCAGAAATGGTGCCTTGTTAATCATTTGAGAATGCATAAATATAAATGTTCCTACTGTGCTAAAAGCTTTAGTCAACACCCAGCTCTTCAGCTCCATGAAAGAAAACACCGAGGCGAGAAGCCTTTTAGGTGTTTGTACTGTGAGAAAAGCTTTGATCGTAGATCTTTATTGATGATTCATGAGAGAATCCACACAGGAGAAAGGCCCTATGTTTGCTCAGAGTGCGGGAAAAGCTTTATACAAAAATCCAAACTTGTTCGACACGAGAAAACCCACACGGGAGAGAAGCCATACAAATGTCCCCATTGTGAGAAGAGATTCAGTGAAAAAGCAAACCTCGTTCAACATGTAAGAAAACATACGGGAGAGAAACCGTACAAATGCTCTCACTGTGAGAAATGCTTCAGCCAAAGATCACGCTTTATTGAACATGAGCGATCGCATCGAGAAGACGTGGCTTACGAGGGTTCAGAAGGTACAAAAAGCTACAGTCATGTTTCCCACCTTCTGAAACATCAACAAATTGATACAGGAGAGAGCCCATATAAATGTTCAGAATGTGGGAAAAGCTTCACGGGTAACGCACGCCTGAAATCCCATAAAAGGACCCACATGGGAGAGAAACCATTTCAGTGCCTGGCTTGTGGGAAAAGTTTTAACCACACTTCAGGTCTTGTAGCACACAGCAAAATTCACTTGGGAAAGAAACCATATCCGTGTTCGAAGTGTGGCAGAAGTTTCCTGAAGCGCTCTGGTCTTCTTAAACACAAGAGGATCCACAGAAAAGGGAAGTTATTCAAATGTTCCAACTGTGGGAAAGCGTTTGTACAGAAAACACAGCTCGCTGCACATCAGAAGACTCACACGTGAGGTGGGAGGCATCAGAAGAAGTCATAACGCTGACTAGAAAGAGCTGTGATTGAGGGTGGGAAGTACTGAGTGTCGAAAACAAAGATAGGAAGAAATTGCTGAGTTGGACACACAAAAGTAAACACCACATACCCCAGTTCTTACAAGTAAAGCCGCTTAAGCTTGAGTCTAGCTCAGCTTTTCCAGTTCTTGTGGAACCTAGCAGGGTTTTAGAAAAAGAGCTACATAGCTCTTATTACTTCAAAAGAGTTCAGTAATTTGGCCTGTGAGTACTGAGCAATTTTGGCATACCTGAGGGTCAGAGTTCCACCCCAGGACCTGTCATAAACCACACCAGAATTTGCGGGGGAGGAAAACCTGGAAGTGCCTGAGCATCCCTAAACGTTTGTTGTTATGTGCCGTCATGTTGTTTCCAATGTCTGGGAGAGGGTTTTGAACTTGTGAAATATTCAAGGATATGCTTACCATGTGGCTGAAGAGAGATTTGAACCCAGGTCAATGGAGTCCATAGGGAGTGGAACAAAAAAGCTGGGGAGAGGTGCTCCCCGTATCCACTCCCCATGGATTGTACTACCCATACCTTTCATGTCACTTTGGCAATATCTTGGATGCCTCACTTTCTTGCCCGGCATTATTTATTTTCTTGCTCAGTACTGTACAAATGAAAGAGTCTATGGTATAATGGAGCTTAGGAGGATTAATCTCTCAAAAGTGTTACCGTAATCAGAATTTGATCATCATCTACCTGTAACCACAAATAAACCAAAGAGGGGGGGACCCTTCAGTTTAAAGCAAAAAGGTATACTGTAGTTGAAACTGTACCTTTAAAAGCAGGGCAATTCAGACCACAGATCAAGCTCCTCTCTCAAAATATAGACAAAATATAGAAGGCGGGGTGTTCATCCCCTTCTCCAAGCCATAGAGTCTGTAGACAGTTTCTGTGGTCATATGACCAGCGCGACTACAGACGGAACGCCATTACCTTCCCACTGTGTTGGTACCTATTTATCTACTCACATTTTACATGCTTTTGAACTGCTAGGTTGGCAGGAGCTGGGACAAGCGACAGGAGCTCACTCCATCGCGTCGATTTGATCTTACGACTGCTGGTCTTCCGACCTTGCAGCACAGAGGCTTCTGCGGTTTAACCCGCAGCGCCACCACACCCCCTACTGATACCATAACTGGTCATAAAGAAGAGGGAGCTGCCCCCCAAACCTGTCTCAAGGAGACAAATTCTCCATGCTATTATTCACAGTTCTTGCACTATTCAAAAACATGCCCGGGAATATATTCCAGCTAAATCTAGTCCTACCTTTGGAGAAGGAGGATTATTAAAATCAACATTTCCACCTAAATTCTCCATTTGAGTACGTAAAAGGCGTGTATAGACATCTCGAGATTTCAGAAGGTGGCAGCATTGAGACAACTACAACATCAGTGAAGAACAGTCGGAATGTAAGGCTTGCTCAAATAAAAATAGACACCACCATTAATTTCTAGGAGAAAAAGAATAAGGACGCCTCTTAAGAAGCGTAATTCAGTGGTTTAGAACTACAGTATATTGCAGGTTGCAATCCCGTGCCCCCTTAACTGGAAATAAGCCCCACTGAACTCAGCAAGATAATTGTGTCGACCTGCATAGGCAGTGATGTTGAAACCTTGCATGTCAGCGAGGGTTCAAAAACTTTTAGGAAGTTTTTCTCATTGTGTAATGGATTTCCTCCACATTTTTGCTTGCTCCTATAACCTGTATGAGTTGATATGCATTGTTCTGATGAGACGATACTGAGAGCCTTGTGGAATAGTTAATGGTAACATAAAAGATGCTGGCCGGATAGCTCAGTGGTTTTAATATCTGGCTGCGGAGCTAGAGTTTGGGAGTTCGAATTGAGATTTCAGAAGCTGGGAGAAGAGCCAGCCTGGGTGGCCTTGGGCAAGCTGCGCAGTCCTAGGGCTCCCCCTAGAGGAAGGGAACGGAAAACCACTTCTGAATATTCTCTGCCTAGAATACCCTTTAAAAAAGGATCGCCATAAGTCGGAACTAACTTGACGGCACATTAATGTAAGCGCTAAATGAAAACGTACTGCTTTCACAGCTGAGGGGACAAGCCACTTTCAGATGAAGTGCAGATGGCTTCCCTGGTGGAAGAAATTGCCAGTTTTTTTTTAATGGGGAGGATCCACGTTTGAGAGCATAACTGGGCTGAGGTTTGTCTATTTGGGGAATCTTGTTTACACATTGGACTGTTTTAGTTTTGTAATGTACTTGATTTATATCGGGCAGTATTGGTATGATTCTGCTCTCTCCCATAGCCCCTGTTCCTCCCATAAGCTTCTCCCCGCAGTTTTCCCCTTCAGGACCTGTTCTCCTTCTCTGTCCAACTCTACAAATTTGTAAGAAGGCTTTGCAAATAAAACAGAACTTAAGGAGAAAAAAAGCAGAAACACTTCTCTGAATTATTTTTAGCTGTGCTGTTGACAAAATACTCATGTTTAAAAGTATGCAAACATCGCAAAACAGAAGAACCCAGCCCAGTTTCAGTCATCAGCTGTAATTCATGAATTACAGATCAGAAAATCTGCTGTGAGATTACCTCAACAAAATTAGGTATCGCCAAGTCAGAACCAATTTATAATGCCCCTAACAGGACTTTAAAGGTAAGTCAGGTACTTAAGGAGTGTTTTTACCAGTTCCACTCCCCCAGCAAGTTTCTATGGCTGAGTGAGGATTCGAACCCTGGTCTCCACTACAGTGGAGCCTCTACTTACAGAATTAATCCGTATTGGAACGGTGGCTGCAGGTCGAAAAGTCTGTAGGTCGAGTCTCCATTGACCTACAATGCATTGAAAACCGATTAATCCCGTAACCGGCCGTTTTTGTTCCATTTTTGTCCCATTTTGGTTTTTTTCTGGTCTGTAGGTCGATTCTCCGGCTTCAAGTCGAACCTAAATTTTGCGGCCAGAGAAGTCTGTAACTCGAAAAGTCTGTAAGTCGAGCCGTCTGTAAGTCGAGGGTGCACTGTATTCCCCACTGGATACATTAACATAGCACCAAGAAATTAACCTTTGGCTCAACTTGGAGAGGCAGTGTGGTGTAGTAGTTGAAATAGCGCTAGACTAGGACTCAAGTGAACTGGGTTTAAATCACCCTTCAGTCATGACTCTGAGGTGTCAGAGATCCTTTGTAAAGATGAAATGGAGGATGGAGAGAACAGTCATAGCTGGATTAATGGAGCCTGGGCTCTTGAAGTTGAAGCCCTGGGACTTTGTGGGTAGCAGGACTGTCCCACTTGCCACTTCCCCATCCCACTGCTTCGCTGTTTCCTTGGACCTCAGCAACAGTCTTTGTGTGATTTGTGACAGAAATAGATACCCGTGCAAGTTATCCTGGTTATAATGCAAAGTATTTGAGGGTGCTGTGGGTCTTCAATGTGTGATCAAGAGCCATTAACTTTACAAAAGACCTGCTCCACATTTGTTGATAAGGACTGTTACGGAAATATCCACTCAGAGCATAAAATGACTCTGACACAATTCTAAGGTGTAGTGCAAGAAATTTAAGCTTTATTAAAACACTGCAGCAGCGGGAAGAATGTGGCAGCCAATTACTACCAAGGACTTCAGAATAAATGAGGTAGCAGCATAAATATATATCAAAAATCCTCTCTATCTCATGGCCGATTTCGACCAAAGAGCTTAGAGTCTGACTAAACCATTCCCCACTTTGTCCAACCCAATCCCCCACCCCTCCTATATGTTTGCATTTATGATTAATTGATTAGATCATGTAGCATCAGCAGGTTTTCATCCAAAAATATATCATAGTACAGTACATGAGTAACATGATTACATTAGGTCAACTTGATCTGGAGGTCCCCCTCCCATCTTCCTGTTTTCCCAGTTAACCATGAACACAGGGACTGTTCCAGACAGTTCTCTTTTGTGGTTACAATTCATCAATCTTGCTAGTGTCAGCAAAGCATGTTAGCCAAGCATTACCTTAAAATATCACATATGGTGACAGACAGTTACTTGCGTCTGTTCCCACCTTCTAAGCTATATATATGATTTCCTGAGTGAAATTTGTTTGTAGATTGCCTTTTATTCCTCATAACAATCCTCCCCTGAATACTTGAACAAATTTTACTCCTCTCTAGACATGTCCTCATAATCTTGAGACATTTCTAAGGAAGCATAATCACTGGTCTCCGGAATCTCTTAAGTTCTCCACACGTGGGTTTTCCACTAACATAGCTGATCTCACCAGTAAGATAGTAATCATCCCTTTTTTTCCCCAGTGGGCAGGAGTAACATTGGGAAAACATTTAACAATAAATTGCAGACAGCCACACGCAAAGAGACTTATCACTATGAACCCCAAGGCCGTCAAAAATAATGATTTTAGCAATCCAAATTGTAGCCATCCAGTGAGCCAGTCCCACCAAACTGGGTTAGTGTCTTGATTGATTGATTGATTGATTGATTGATTGATTGATTGATTGATTGATTGATTGATTGATACCCCGACTATCTGGACCAACAGACAGCTTCCAATAGGCGGCTTCCAATATAAAATCAAACGATAAAAACACCAACAAATACATAATAATACAACAACAACTACAATAAAATAGGAATAGAGAAAAGTAAGAAAAAATCAATTGGCTAGAGGGAAGGCCTGAATGAACAACTATGTTTTTAATTGGGTTTTGAAGAATATCAAATATCTTGAATATTTTTCATAATCTCCCTTAGACCTTCCACCTGGCAATGTATAGACTGGCTATTATCAGTTGAAACAACGCAGGTTATGAAAAGCCTCACATCCTCGACCGTCTCTAAGCAGCAGATAGTCCAATGCAGCTCGATTATCGAGTATTGCCCCACACAACTGGTGTTGCTCCTGATTTAGGAGGCTGGTGGCAATGTAGGTTTCATTTATGGACTTTACCATTGCACATGCCAAATGAGACAGCTCCCTCGAGGTTCTAATAGTCAAACCAGGTACCCCTACAAGGGATGTTGCCAAGGAAATATACTCTGCGCTGCTTAACAGATGTACGTCACTGTTACAGTCGGGGCCCAGAGTTTGGAGTCCCCTCCTAGTCCTAGGGGAACCCTTAACAATTTCTCTCTTTCTTGGCCAAATAATCACTAGGCGGCTCATACAACAAGTGGTCTCACCCAAATTTGCAGGGATATAACTATAAGTCATAGTCCCGCATGTCCAGAACCATCCAGGCGAACATGCGAACATATTTTTCTGAAAACTTAATCTTCACTTTGTGTCCACATGTCACTTTGTGTCACTTTGTGTCCAATTACCTACTGGCACCTCTAAACATTTGGCTCAGATGGTCTTATTTATTTATTTATTTATTTGATTTTTACCCCACCCCCTCTAGACAACGTCTACTTATTTCCCTATTGGTCTTACACCACTGATCCTGCAAGACACTGTTAAGTCAACATGGGTTCAGTTAGTTGAACAAAAAAGTAGCCTCTTTGGGTTTCGTCTAGGCTGACTCTGTTAACCACGGGAATGGAACAGGCGAAGAAAACCATTAAGCAGTGTATTGAGGACATCGAGAGACAAAATGATCTAAGCAGTGCCCTCGAATTCTATCTTAGGGAGGACAGATGGTATAAGGTCACAGCAGCACCTTATTTTGCCCAGTTGGAGGAACCCGGGTATCGAAGGGCATTTACTCTGGCCTGGCTGAACGCACTACTTTCAGCAGCACAGGAAGGTCGGTATAAAAAGCCCCCCCTGGTCAGAACGCCTTTGCCCATGTGGAATGGAGCAGATAGAAACAACTGAACACGTCCTGTTGTCGTGTACGTGTTACAAAGAACAGGCGAAGAAAACCATTAAGCAGTATATTGAGGACATCAAGAGACAAAATGATCTAAGCAGTGCCCTCGAATTCTATCTTAGGGAGGACAGATGGTATAAGGTCACAGCAGCACCTTATTTTGCCCAGTTGGAGGAACCCGGGTATAGAAGGGCGTTTACTCTGGCCCGGCTGAACGCAGTACCTTCAGCAGCGCAGGAGGGTCGGTATAAAAAGACCCCCCTGGTCAGAACGCCTTTGCCCATGTGGAATGGAGCAGATAGAAACAACTGAACACGTCCTGTTGTCGTGTACGTGTTACAAGGAAGTACGTAAAGAACTTGTTTCCCCTTTGATTGGGCCGATTTTCCGGCGGGTACAGAGCAACAATGTGATTTAGGGATTTTGAAGAGAGATTGGGATGAGATAGTGTTAGGGCCTGTTTATTCTAGTTGTGAGGTACTGTGCTAGAGTAGGTCTGAATGAGAGAGTGATTGAGGGGGATACTTTAATCCTGTTGTGTCGTGTACATGTTACAAGGAAGTACGTAAAGAACTAGTTTCCCCTTTGATTGGACCGATTTTCTGGCGGGTACAGAGCAACAATGTATGCATGCATGTGCTGTTGTCTGATTCCAATCCTATGTTCACACGTCGTGTTGCCAAATTCTTTACTGCTGCTCTGGGCCTTGGAAAAAGGATCCTAAAAGTGGATGGGCCTCCGTAGTCAGAGAGCATGGTTTGCTACACATTTTGGCATTGCTTCAGGGGAGATGTAAAAGTGGATATTGCTCCGTAGTCAGAGAGCATGGTTTGCTAGACATTTTGGCATTGCTTCAGGGGAGATGTACTGACACTGTTGTTGTTAACCTCAGAACTAACTATTCCTTGGCACTCAGTCCCAATATTTTTGTATATTTCTGCATATTTATATATTTTAGATGTTTTATCTGTGGCTGGTCTTTTTTGACCGTCATAAAGTTTTATATTGCTCCGTAGTCAGAGAGCATGGTTTGCTAGACATTTTGGCATTGCTTCAGGGGAGATGTACTGACACTGTTGTTGTTAACCTCAGAACTAACTATTCCTTGGCACTCAGTCCCAATATTTTTGTATATTTCTGCATATTTATATATTTTAGATGTTTTATCTGTGGCTGGTCTTTTTTGACCGTCATAAAGTTTTATCTATCCCGTTTTTAGTATAGTGACTTGAGGTACACCTTTGGAGAGTTCTGGGAGCAACTGTATCCGTTTGGGACAGTATTTATGGGAGGAACAAAATTACTTTCTTAACTTCTGCGGAAATCGGTGGTGAGGCGAGAGAGAGCAAAAGGGGAATGAAAGCTTTCCCGCCTGCGGCCGAACCCCTTCGGGCATGCGCAGTGTGGCAAAGCGCTTCCTCTTCTCCTCTCGTTCCTCGTTCTTTTCCTGTTCTTGCAAGTTCCCTGCCAGGCTTAGGAGGCGGAATCAAAAAAGGGTCTCGGAAACTTTCAGAGCCAGGGAGAGGATTTCGTCCACGAGCTCTGATCCGGACCTGCTGCTCCCTGAGTCAGCGGCACTCACCTTGTTTCCACCCCGGTAAGTCCCGTTCTTCCCCTTTTCCCGCAACCCTTGTGGTGAGACGTTTGTGCGTTACTCCAGCGTTAACGAACGGCTGGGGTCGGTAAAGTAGTGCCGTTACTTCTGCCTCGATTTCTTCCTGTAATTCCGGCCAACCTGCCTGCAGTCTCTCCCCACCGATTTTAAATTGCGCGCGTTTTAAGTCCCGGGCACCTCTCCTTATGCCGCAATCAAAAGAGGAGCTTTTAATGCACGGGAGATCAAAATAACAGAATAACATTTTATTCCCAGAAGCCAAAGGCTGGGTTGGGCGACCCCGTTCCTTGGATCCCTCTACAAGGGAGGCGAGCCGTCAAGATCGGTGTCACGCTTGGAGTCAAAAGGCAAACGAGCTCCGATATTGGTCAAGAGGTCACGATCCTGGCTCTTGAAAGCAGACGGCTGCTCCCTCCAAAATTACAGTGACCCCGGTAAGCCTTAGAAAGAGTGATCTGCAATACTATAACTCTTGTTATAACTCCTAGATTTCTTACGTGCCCACGTGTGTGTCTTCTTAAACATGCCTGCTTCTTGGTTTGTGTAAACTGTAAAGGGAGATAGGAGGTCTTTCCAGCAACTTTGAGGATCTGCATGACACGATGCTGAGCAAACGATTCTTGCCAGGGATGCCCCCCCCCATAGTGTCCGGAAAACTGGTCAACAGATGTAGTCCAGCCCTTCCCAATAGCACCCAAGCCGCCTCCTTTTCGCTTTAGCCTAAGAAACGGATAAGCTAAGGAATAAATAAGGGTCTGTCACTATCTTTGCCCAGAGATCTGCCTTTGAACTCAACCAAGACAATGGGCAGATCTATGGTTTTAAGGAGGGGAACAAGATACTCTTTAGACTTGGAGGGGCGGTTTTGAGGCTCTTTCAGTTCCCTTTTCCCCCTCCCCCTCATGTAGCACTTTTGAAAGCCATCATCTTACTTGACCACTTCCTAAGGCAGAAGAAATGAGAGGAGAAAGGGGGGAGAGACCAGACCTTGCAGTCTTTGGGAGATGAGCATTTCAACTCAAATCAGGGGTTGCACAGAGTTCTTGCAAAGAGCTGAGTCTCAATTTTCCACCTCTTATTTATTTAGTTATTGACTGAGATGGTTTTCACAGGAGTTTTTGCAGCCTTTAGTCCGTTTGGCTGTGCGGGACCTTTTCTCTTGGCTGGATCGACCGTCCCAGCTATCCAGCACAAATTGTTGCTTCTTCTCTTCCTTTGAATTTATAGAGAGCTGGGCTTCTCTGTCGGTGCCCTTTCGGTGCCCTTTCTCTCCCTGAAGAGACCTAGTCGCACCGTTCCAATTCTGCCTTGAAAACTTTTGAAAAAAAGAATCTGTTTGCAAACAACAGGTCCTGGGTGGAGGGGAACAGACAGAGGCAGGGTATGTGGAGTGGAGGAGAACAAGCCGTGACATCTGGCCTTATTAAACTTGCAAAACTAGCCTTGATGTACAGGAAACAGAAAGAGGCGGTTTTCACCCTTGCGTCCATTCCCGTTTCCTGCAGATGAACAGCAGTCTCTGCGCGGTGGCGGCGGAGGCTTGCAGTGGGATTATTTCTGTATGTCTCTGTTTGATCCATAGTTTTCCCTGTCTGTTGTCTTTCTACCAGAACTGGAAACTCAAGGTGGGTCAAATTGTGATTAAACACAACTACAGATAGAAACACCATCACTAACGTTAAAGCACAAAATACATTAAAAGCTTTATTTAAAAGAGTTTTATGAAAAAGCACGGAAGTTAAAAAAATAAAATATGCATGTGATTTTAAAAAGCTGCATTCCTAGCAGCCATTTTATTGTTTAACGCCCTTTGAGAGTAGGAAATGCATAATTTTGAGATGAAAATGAAAAAATTAGGCTGAACATCTTAAGTCAATGATTTGGTTCATGCATTTAGAGAGGAAGGAAAAAAATAAGGAGGCAAGTCTTGATATTCCCATTTTTTTGTTTAGTTTTTAGAACAGAGACGGGAAGGAAGCAAGAAGGAAGAGGTTCTTCAGACAGTAGGTTCTCTGAGGGAGGACCACCGGACAGCAGTGCGCCAAAGAGATTAAAGTGAAAGCTTTGGGAGACACAATGGCCAGGAGGAGAGGCAAAAAGAGTTCTGTGAAGAGAAAGAGAGATCCTGAGGAGAAAGATGTTCCCAGGGAGGCTTCAAGTGAAGTAACCACCCCAAAGGGAAGTCACAGTGAAGAGACAGACGAGGCCAGCTCAGAGCAAGCTTCCAAGCTCGACGAGATATCTGGACCGCCATTTAAGTGCTTCGACTGTGGCAGAATTTGCTCTCATAAATCTGCTTTGGTTGTACACTTGAGGTCCCACACAGGAGAGAAGCCATTTCCATGCACCGTTTGTGGGAAACGGTTCCGTTCCAGAGGAAATCTCAACCAACATGAGCGAAGCCATTCAGGAGAGAAACCACACCCCTGTTCAGTTTGTGGGAAACAGTTTCGCTCCAAGTCAGCCCTGATTAAACATGAAAAAATCCACTCTGGTGAAAAGCCACATGCATGTCCAGATTGTGGGAAAAGATTCCTTTCTAGAGTACATCTAAATAGGCACCAAAAAATCCATTTAGGTGAGAAGTTGTTCACCTGCTTATACTGTGGGAAAGCCTTTAGACAAAGAGACAATCTTAATACCCATGAGAGAATCCATACAGGCGAAAAACCATATACATGCATTGACTGTGGGAGAGGCTTCAACTGTCAGTCCAATTTTAAAAGGCATCAGAAGATACACACAGGTGTGAAACCGCACCCATGCTCAGTTTGTGGGAAAAGATTCAGAAGTAGTTCTGATCTTATACTCCATGAGAGAATCCACACGGGTGAGAAACCTTATGAATGTTCTGACTGCGGCAAATCCTTCAGTTGCAGCGCCAATCTCATAACTCATGGTAAAATCCATGAGAGAGAAAAACCTTATAAATGTCTGGAATGTGGCAAATATTTGAGTAACAGCTCTGATTTTGTAAAACTTCAGGGGGCGCATAAATACAAATGCTCAGACTGTGGGAAGAACTTCAGCGAAACCTCAGCCCTTGAGATACATGAACAAAAAAACACAGGTGAGAAACTGTTTGCATGTTCACATTGCAGGAAAAGGTTTAACTGTAGGTCTGACCTCATTATACATGAAAGAATTCACACAGGAGAGAAGCCATATGATTGTCCAACGTGTGGGAAGGACTTTAAATCAAAGCGTGAACTCCGTCAACATGAGAAAACCCACACAGGAGAGAAGCCATATGATTGTCCAACGTGTGGGAAGGACTTTAAATCAAAGCGTGAACTCCGTCAACATGAGAAAACCCACACAGGAGAGAAGCCATATGATTGTCCAACGTGTGGGAAGGACTTTAAATCAAAGCGTGAACTCCGTCAACATGAGAAAACCCACACAGGAGAGAAGCCATATGCATGTTCCTACTGCAAAGGTACATTTACTTCAAAGCGTGGCCTCATTCTACATGAGATGCTCCATACTGGAGAGAAACCATATCAATGTTCCCACTGTGGGAAGCATTTCTCACAAAAATGTCGGTATGCTGTGCACGTGAGATTGCATTTGGCAGAAAACCCCTATGCTTGTTCAGAATGTGGGAAAAGCTACAAAGATCCTTTCTACCTCCGGCAACATCAGAAGATTCACACGGGTGAGAATCCATATAAATGCTCAGAGTGTGGGAAAAACTTCTGTGCAAAGCGAGATCTCCAGTCTCACCTCAGAATCCACACAGGAGAGAAACCCTACCCGTGCTTTGAATGTGGGAAAAGTTTCCGGATCAAATACCAGCTTGTAGTTCATCAGCGATCCCACATGGGAGAGAAACCCTTTAAATGCCTGGATTGTGGGAAAAGCTTTACTACAAGTTCAGCTCTTACACTACATTATAAAGTCCACAAAGAGTAAGAAACAAGTAAAAATGTTGTTGAGTGTGAGGAAAGCTTCATCTGGAAGACCACCCTCATAACACACAAAAGTAAAACCCACAAAGGAGAAGTCATGGGCTTGATTGGTGGATGAAAAATACTTTCAAAATACTGATCAAGAATGAATCCACTGAAAGAGGAAAATAAATAGTGGACACGGACTGACCCTAGAGAGAGCTTGGCTCGGACAGCATAACTCTTCAGCAAATCCACAGATATAGGTGACTGAGTGACGAAAGCTAGTGGTTCTCAAAGGTGAGCTCCAGGTGATCTTGGACTACCATTTCCAGAATCCCCAGCCTGCCTGGCTTCTGGAAATTTCCCTCAAAATTTGGTTGAGAAGCAGAAAGCAGGCTTGAGATAAATTAGCTTAGGGGAAAGAAAATAAATATTCCTGGTGAAATTTAATTGGGATTGTGGTTGGTCAGAGATATAGGTGACTTGGATGGATTATTAGAGAAAAAGAAAAAGGAAGGACGAACTGTGGACCCAGAAGATCATGGGATGTGTAATTATACCATGTTATTTTGAACAGTAATTAACTACTAGTAGAGGTGGCTTCTGTTATGAAAAATAAAAGCCACGTATGAACAACTTTTACTTAAAGAACCAGATAGCTTGGAAACTGGGAACAGACGCAAGTTGCTGTCACCATATGTGATATTTTAAGATAATGCTTGGCTGACATGCTTTGCTGACACTAACAAGATTGCTGAGACAGCGACCGCAAAAGGCCCGAAGGGAGGAAACTTGTCTGGAACAGAGCTTGTGTTCGAGGTTAATTGGGGAAAAACAGGAAGATGGGAGGGGGATTTCTAGGTCAAGTTGACCCAATGTACTCATGTACACTTCGGGAAAGGCAGAGCCTTGTGGAATAGTTAGTGGTAATGTAAAAGATAGTGGCTGGATAGCTCAGTGGTTTAGACATCTGGCTGCGGAGCTAGAGCTTGCGAGTTCAATTCCCCGCATGTGCCTCCTGGGAGTAGAGCCAGCCTGGGTGGCCTTGGGCAAGCTGCACAGTCCTAGGGCTCCCCCTAGAGGAAAGAAAGGATAAACCACTTCTGAATATTCTCTACCTAAAAAGGATAAAGAACAAAAGAATTTTAATTCACATATGATAAGAAGAGCTTTATTGGGAATGTGGAGAAAGATTATATGTACAACAAATTTATTACAAAACACCTGTATGGGTGTCACCGATAGAGGTCTTTACACAACCTAACCTCATGACAAAAGCAAAACTTTTAAGATATCAAGATTTATTAAAAAAGGATGGTGAACTGAGGTCTAAATAAGAGCTAGAGTCACAGAATGTCTATATAGATTGGTGGTCTAGAGCACAGTTGGAATCTAGATATACAAAAGATAAAATAGAAGGTTTCTACTCAGAGCAAACGACTTTTGATAAGCTTTTGCTAGGTTCAAAAGAACAAATTGTTAAGAAAATGTTTAATTATATGCTGGAAATTAAAATGCAAGATGAAATGGTTAAAGAATGCATGCTTAAGTGGACACAGAACATAGGGCATAATATTGATTTTGATCAATGGCTGAAAATATGGCAAAGCAACATAAAGCTTACAAGACTGATTAATTTTAAGGAGTATATATATAAGATGTTTTATAGATGGTACATGACCCCAGAAAAATTGTCAAAGATGTATACAGATATATCAAATGAGTGTTGGAAATGTGAAGCACAAGTGGGAAGTTATTTTCATATGTGGTGGACATGTAGAGTAGCGAAACAATACTGGAAAAGCGTATGTGCTATGTTGCAACAAATATTGCTCTGTAAGGTGCCATTAACCCCAGAACTGTTTTTACTGAGCATGATACCTGACAACATAGATAAGTCAAAGGAATATATAGTTATATATATTGTTACTGCAGCCAGAATTTTATATGCTAAAAATTGGAAAAGTCCGACGTACCAAAACAATACGGGAGAATACGGGAAATAGCAGAAATGGATATGCTATCAGAAGTAATGAAGGACTGTCCCCTGCAAAAGGCAACAGAAAGATGGGATTTATTCAACAAGTGGAGTAAATCAACAGGCAGTGTATGAATAGCATATACTGAAATGAGAACTTAAACCTAGAAGGCAGAAAAGAGTAAACAGAATAATTTGAAATTTTGATATGGCAATAGGTATAGAATGGATGTTAGTATGCTATTGTTTCTCCTCTTCCCCATTAATTCCAATTCCCCTTTTCCTTTCTCTCACCCCTTTTGTTAAAAAATTAAAAAAATTGGAAAAAATGAATATTCTCTACCTGGAATACCCTTCAAAAAAAGGATCGCCATAAGTGGGAACTAACTTGACAGCACATTAATGTGAGAAATAAATGAAAACAGACTGCTTTCACAACTGAGGGGACAAGCCATTTTCAGACGAAGTGCAGATGGTCTCCCTGGTGGACGAAATTGCCAGTTCTTCTTTTTCTTCTTTTAATGGGGAGAATCCACATTTGAGAGCATAACTGGGCTGAGGTTTGTATATTTGGGGAATCTTGCTTACACATTGGACTAGTTTATTTTTGTAATGTACTTGACTTATATTGGGCAGTATTGATATGATTCTGCTCTCTCCTGTAGCCCCTGTTCATCCCATAAGCTTCTCCCCGCAGTTTTCCCCTTCAGGACCTGTTCTCCTTCTCTGTCCAACTCTACAAATTTGTAAGAAGGCTTTGCAAATAAAACAGAACTTAAGGAGAAAAAAAGCAGAAACACTTCTCTGAATTATTTTTAGCTGTGCTGTTGACAAAATACTCATGTTTAAAAGTATGCAAACATAACAAAACAGCAGAACGCAGCCCAGCTTCAGACATCACCTGCAATTCGTGAATTACAGATCAGAAAACCTGCTGTGAAATTACCTCAACAAAATTAGTTACATGTCGCCAAGTCAGAACCAATTTATAGTGCCCCTAACAGGACTTTCAAGGTAAGTAAGATACTTAAGGAGTGTTTTTACCAGTTCCACTCCCCCAGCGAGTTTCTACGGCTGAGTGATGATTTGAACCCTGGTCTCCAGAGTCCTCAACTATCAATCTGTCCATTATACCACACTGGATATGTTAACATAGCACTAAGAAGTTAACCTTTGGCTCAACTTGGAGAGGCAGTGTGGTGTAGTAGTTAAAGTAGTGCTAGACTAGGACTCAAGACACCTGGGCTTAAATCCTCCCCCGCCCCCGTCAGTCATGACTCTGAGCTGTCAGAGATCCTTTGTAAATTTCCTTCCTCGTTATTCCCTGTCTCTTGTTGGCTATAATTCTTCAGCTGTTCATTAAATAATTTTCCTCTTGGTAGTAGGATCTCACTATTTCTAGTATTGTTTGCAGGGTAGATTTTGTTTCATCCTAAAATTGCTCTTGCTGTGCCATTCTGTTCCAGCTGCCCAAGATTCAAAGCCCCCAAGTCTCACAGTCCAGTTCGCTGATTGTATCTGTGTCCTAGTTGATCCCTGGTAAATTGATGCCAGGTAAACAGATATTCCAAGTCTCCAGAGTCAATTCAAAGAGTCCGCTTTGGCTAAATAGGCCTGAACCAAAATTTAAACCCCCAAAGTACGAAGGTGCAATGCAATGGTTGTATCCACGGCCTGATGGCCTAATTCCCACAGGTTTACACCGGCTAGTCAAACACAAATCATTCCAGATCCCAGGGCAGTTCTCAGAGGATCTACTTTGGCCAAACAGGCCTAAACTGTAGTTCAAAAACCCCAAATATCACAATCCAACCCAGTATTTATATCCAGCCTAGTTCCCGCATTTCTGCATCAGCCAAAACTGGAATTCCAGGTCCCTGGGGGTGGTTCCAAAAAGTTCACTTTAGTCCAATATACTAATTTCCACAGTGCAGTTTAAAAAGATCCACTTTAGGGTTAATTGTCCAGCCAGGCATGAAAAAATCAAAAAGAAATAAGGAAAAAAAAAACAGGTTTCCAGGCTTTTAATCAGCAGTCAATTACTCAAGGTCACTTTTCTGGGTGTTAAGCCAAAAAACTTCAAATAGTCGAAACATGAGATAAAGTCCAGTCTTGACTAATAATAACTTACGAGAAAGTTTCTTAAGGTTTATAACGCCAAATTATAATGTTCTTAAAGTATATTTTAAATATATTTAAATAGGTAGTTAATGTCCCATAAATCTTTAAATTATTTTCTTTGCATCGACCATCTCTCTCTCCAGATTTTCTGCCGCTCTATGACTGATTGATGAGATTGATAGAAGGTTCTTTTTTTTCTGTATATAAAAATTGTCTTCTCCAGGGGTAATCATAAGCATTCATAAGTTGTAAAAATGTATCTCACCCAGTTGTAACGCTGATGTTGAATAGCTGATTATTGCTTCTCTTATTGTCGGCTGCTGACGACTTGCAAGCAAGAAACTGCTTGATTCTGCCCGTTGGCTGATTAGGGAGTTTCTTGGATCAAACGGGGATGACCACTGTCCCCCCCGTGATCAACAGGTTTCCCCCCCAGTTCACCACCTCTCCGGGGCGGTTTCAACACCCTAGGGTGTCCCAAACAGGCCAGAATGCAGCCCAGGGAACACAGCTCTGTTCTCCTGCTGCTGTCTCATTGCGGCGTCAAGCCATGCTCAGCCCTGGGACTTTCTGAGTTGCAGGACTGTCCCTTTTGCCACTTCCCCATCCCCACATTTTGCTGTTTTCTTAGACCTCAGCAACAGTCTTTGTGCGATATGGGACAGAAATAGATACCAATGCA